ATGAGTGGTTTGCATCTTGTGGTGTGGCCTCTATATTTCTGCTCTCTGAGTCTTCTTCGAACAGTGGATTGTGATACCTTCACCCCTGCACTGTGGAGGTTGTTGGTGATGTCACTTACTGATGTTTTGGGGGTTTTCTTCACAGCTCTCACAATACTTCTGTCATCAACTACTGTTGTTTTCCTTGGCCGACCTGTTCGACACCTGTTACTCAGTACACCAGTAATTTCTTTCTTTTTCAGGACATTCCCAATTGTTGTGCTTGGTATGCCCAATGTTTGTCCAATGACTCTGATTGACTTTCCTTCTTTTCTCAGCTCGACAATGGCTTGCTTTTCTCCCATAGACAGCTCTCTGGTCTTCATGTTGGTTTATCCTCTTTAACAGGAAATGCAGTCTTGATAGGTTTGAACCAAGGGTGAAAACTTAGACTAGTCATGCAGAGCTATTTAATGTTTGGAAAATCAACCTAAAAGGCAACATCTGGGCAACAAGAAACACCTGTCAGTCACATGTTCCAATACTTTTGCTCACTTGAAAAATGGGTGGGTTCAAACAAAGAGTGGTATGTCGTGAGTTGTTTAACACATCTAGATGTGAATACCTGGAAATAAAAGCTGAAATTCTGAACTCTTGTCTCATACTCATCTTTTGATCTTAAACCCAAATGTCTTCAGTGAACAACAAAAATAAAGGAATTTGCCTTACCGTTCCAATACTTTTGGAGGGGACTGTAAATCAGCTCACTGAAGAACATGTTAATGAGTGTTGATTTTATATTCATTTTTCTAAAGTTTCTCTTCAAGAGCTTGGAAATGTGCTCGGTGGCTACATAGTCATGAATGTTTTTTTGAATTTGCTTCATTCCCCTTTGATTTAATTTTCCACAAAAATGAATACAAGCCTGATTTCTTCTTTCTCAAACATACAGGGAGATATTCTGACATGTAACAACTGTGTCATCCTTTTCTGTCAATTCTTAATAAGTAAAGGTTTGGTGATGGCTCTGGTGAGCAGGCAAAAAGTGCAGTCATCCCAATCCCCTCCCCAAACAAAGACTGGTTTGTTGGACTGACCGTGGCCATCTTGCGCTGCTCTGCCAGTTTCTGCAGCTGGTAGGATTTGTCCTCTGTTTTTATGAATCCCTTCTTCACATCATCCAGTGCCTGCACAGACAGGGGGTGGGGTGGATGGCGGGGTTAGGGTGGCATGAAGAGATACAACACCATTATAAGTAGATATTCAGGTTGAAGTAAGTGAGTTCATCCATTAAATGGCATTAAGCTCTTGTAAGTTCAACTATAATTGATATTGTCATAATAAAAATCAATCAAATGACAATGTGGAAACAAGGTGACCGGTGATTTCCATTATTTAGCTAGACTTTGACAGCCCACCCTAATTTGTCCTGCCAGTTCCATAATGACCTGAAAATTATAACATAAAAGATATTTAACGTAGCGTTTTGCTGTCTCTCTCGTCTCTATTTCTGAAAGACATTAACAATAGGACCAGTCTGTCATAATGGGACCGATCATGGAAAGCATGAGCAGAAATCCTGCCGTGTTAGTGGCCTTGCAGACTGAAGGTTTTTATCGTCTTCAGCAGAACTCAGTATGACAATGAACTGGGCTCATTAGCCAATCACAATGAGCCCCCACCCCCTGTTTGGCATCTTTATTTTGGTTTGTAAACACAATGCAACATTCAGTCACATAAGAACCAGATATTTCCCTTTGGAGTTGGTAGAGAGCAACTCCACCAACAAAAGAATGAATACAATCACCAGGTGGCCACTAACACAAGTATTCATTGCAGGTTGAAATAATCTGGTTGGGCTCGTTGTAAGAACTGAGATGTGCTGACTTTCCTCACAGAACTCTTTTTACCACGTCACATCTGAACCTCACATGCCTAACAGGCTTCAGGTAGTGACCTTTCTTGGTCAGTGGCCAGCCTGAAGCCTGCTGCCCCAGCTACAGCTATTTTTAGTGCATTTGCATTAGAGGATTATTTTTTCCACTTCACACTTATGCTTCGAAAATTGTGGCAACTGGCTTGTAGAATATCATGTTACTTTGGCTTCCTGATCACAGGAGGTGGCCTTTCAAAGTAATGGGCTCTTTGAGGCCAGCCTAGATGGTTAAAAGTAAGAGAGTAAAATGATTTCCACGATAATGGCAGAAATTATTCATTGAAATTTCCAACATGTTAAAATTCAGAAAGAAGTTTACAAACTCTTTGGGGAGACAGAAGATCAAATTTGTAAAATTGTGCCCAGCTCCCATCAGTTCATGGCAAATGAGATTCAATTATTGTTATTACCTGGTGAAAGCAGTAGTGCAGTGCCAGAGGATTGTCTCTTAGTAACTCCTCCTCCTGGAAGCTGAACAACCATTTGCGCAGCGCCAAGCAAGTCCCCGGAACCGCCGACGTGTAGTTCTGCACATAAAGCTTGTGGGGAAACTCGTTGGGCGCCAGCTTCCGTACTGTGACAAAAAAAAGAAAGCAGGAGAGGGATATTGAAGTGGACAGAGTGGGGGTGGTCTGTTTAGTCATTAAAAAAATAATTCATAATAACCTGTATTAAATAACCCTTGCTGTCCAAAACTGCAGACATACCCTGAGGCCCACTGAGTCAAACCAGTGGGATGATGCAGGTCTTTATTTAGACCTGTATCATCCCTTTATTTAATGGTCATGTGATGAAGTTGGAGCAGAAATTTGTAATGTAAAAAATGCTCTGTGAATTTCTGCTGTGAAACAATGAGAAACATCAACATACACACAAGGTTCTTACCAAAGGAATGGTTGACGACCTCAAAAAGGGCAAAGTAGCTCGCCATAATACTGTCCATTCCAACCTTCATCACTAATGCCTAAAGGAAGAGCAATACAGTCAGTTATGTAAGAAAAACAGTGCTTAGTAAATTCTTTTAAACTCCAACTGCCTGCAAATCTTTTTTTCTTCCAGTGTAAACATACATTTGCATTAATACAATATAAGGTATTTACTAGTAGTATGTATGGACAGGTAGATTTGATTCTGTAATCCTCAGTGCCACAACAAAAGCTAAAAACTGAATGTAAAGCCCAATTCACACATTCAAACTATGAGGGCAATAATGTGTAAAATAAAGCTCAACGACAGCCTCATTCCAGCAGATGTCATGTGATCTCACCTGGTACACCTGGTCTGTGGTGCTGTTCTTGCGGACTCTGACAGAGATGGTGGTCTTGTCTGGCAGGGCTATCCGCAGTTCTACATCTGTCACTCCATTGTAGTTCTGCACAGAGGAGCAAAACATTATGAGAACAGTCGAGCTGCACTAACTCATGTGTGGATTAACTAAAGGTGGGTACTGTGTTGTATGAGAGTGAAATGAATGCAATTGTTGTTTGTGGATTTTAAAAAACATAACGAAACCAGAAGTCCTTTGGTAAGAAGTCCTGATCCTTTTAAGTTCCTCTGTAAGTGTAAATAATTATAGTAGGATTTTATTTGTTTCGCTACAGGAACTTCTACAAACACTAGTAAGCCTATGTAGTTAACTGATTTCTAGACTGACTGGTTTTAAAACAGACTGTATTTATATAACAGTCTTATCAACGACTCAAGGTGCACATCATTAACACACTGCTGGCACAGTCGTCAGGGCCAAAGTGGGGTTTCTGTGTCTTGCCCAAGACACTTGGAGGATTGAACCATCCACCCTCTAGTTAGTGGACAAACTGTTCTACCTCATGAGCCACAGCTGCCCAATCTATCCGTGGCAGGAGAAATTAGACTATGACAGGTCACCAAAGTCTTTACAGAGTAATTCATGGGAAACACTGATATGCAAACACTGTCATAATCAGAGATGCATACCTCGTCTGATTCAGAGAGAAACTCCTGCATGATGTCACTCTCCCCGATCACCCGCACAGAGCAAACTGGAGACACACAACACAGACAAGGATGAAGAGAAAGAGAGTGGGGGTGGGGTGGTCACAACATATTAAATAAACAAAAGGACAGTTAAATGTCACATTGCTTGTATCCTGTGTTCAGGTTCACAATATTCTCCTTTTAAAGTGAAAAACTATTGTTTTTCCTGACAAGATGGTTTCTGCACGTATACAATTCGTCTTTCCTTCTTTTGTTATTATTGATATTATGGATTTTGGTGGAGGGTCTAAATACAGTCTTGTACTTTAGCATCAACCTTTGACAATGGAGCTGTAATTCCTGTCAATTGATGTATGGATCGGTAACAGAGAAGCCTTTTGTCTTCGCTCGAACTTAAGATGAACACAAGCCTTTCTTTACACTAGTGACATTTCCATATCAGCATACCTCGCTCAAGATATTCCTCCAGGCCTCGACGCCGAGCATCCAGCTGCTGTTCAGAAAGGGAGAAAGGCCATTTCCCTGGAAGCTTTGGGAAGTTGAAGTTGGAATACTCTCTCTTCAGGTTCTGGTGAAGGATGGCAAATTCCCGGTAGCGCTTTGAGCACAGCTGCCTACCTGACATGTACACATTGTACACCTACAGCCATTGAAGCAAGAAAATAACAGAAAGGAATTAGAGGGAGACTCCCACAGGAAACACATTATATTCACTGTGCGATTATGTATTTTCAACATACTGTATATGGGACAGGTTTCAAAGGAGCCACGAGGCTATTTCAAGAATGACAAATGTTTGGGCCAGCGTGTCAAATGAGCACTCACCACAAACCTCTCGGAGTGCTGCTCTACATGTTTGTATGTGGGAACAGAAATGGGCACGGCCTGCTTGTCGCTGTAGTCATAGTTGGGTTGGACTTCCTCTCCTCCTTCCAACCCATCGGCCTCCTGAGGTGGAACAGAGAGCACAGCCAGAACCAGCTCCTTCTCCCCTGCACGGATCAGGTCCACGACCTGCTTGTGCGTGGCACCTTCCACGCTCACCCCATTACTGGAAGAAAAGTGAGAGCAAGAGAATGTTAGATGAGAAAGTGAGATAGGAGATTTACGACCATTTTACACCCTGCGCTGTTCACGTGATGAATTTATGTTTCAACATGGCAGACTCTCTAAATACCGAAACAACAGATCAAGTATTCAGCACTGACCACAGCAGTACTTGACTGGATATTTTCCATCAAATATAAAATTTGTGTAGCGCATTTTCTAATAATACCACTTCTTAAAAGAATTCTAATGGGAAATATCAAATACTGTCCAGATAGCATTGCCCTTGAGTCCCCACATTAAAATCCACAGAGTAATCAGTTTTATGTAAGGTAACCTGAGGCCAACCTGTGGCACTAAAAACGGAGTCATTGGCCTGCTGTCACTGAAGGAATGAAACCGATAGCAGAGACACTTAAATTTTATAACAGCTCTGGTAAAGAAATGGCATTTAGGACAGATTGGTCACGCCACAGTCGATAAGAAACTCACTTAATAAATAATACAGTCTTCGGCATCTGTAAGAATTATAATTATGGCACTTGAATCCCTTATCTTCAGCACAACATTATAATAAATTATTATCAATTTTGCAAATATGTGATCTGTACGTGTCTTTTTTTGCTGTGTGTTTCATATTTTGTCATTCATTGACAAACACAATGTTTGGAGCGCTGAGTAACCAGGTCAGCTCCAATGGCTCCCTCTCCTTTGGTGCCGTGAGACACCTCCCTTCTTGGCTTTACAGAGGCCAGATGGCACCGGCATCAGGTGTCTCTGTTAATCTTCAAATGAGAAACAGCGGGACGGAAACATGAAAGGAGGGAGGGAGCAAGAGCACAAGCAGAGGTCTGTCCATTATATGCAATGTCTCCATCCCTGTGTAGTGTAGGAAAAGTGTGTTGTGAAAAACAAAAGAAACATCAGGAGATGAGAAGAGCTGGCTGTGTTGTGAGAAAAGCGATTAAGGTGACTGAAAGCTAAATTTAAGGTGTGAGACCAGGAAGACAAAGATAAAGGTGCTTTGGTCACACAACTGTTATCGAATCATCCTTGTGTTAGACAAAACAGAAACAGCAAGCCGACTAGAAAGGTGTCTCAGTAGCTGATCAGCAACTAGATGTTCATATACCATCCTCCCTTTCCCAATACTGATTTTGATGCCTGGTCTTTGCGTATCTGCATTTCAAAAAATAGATTCCCGTACTTGGAGGTGCTCGACCTGTCATTTTCTGCAGATTCAGAGGCATTTCTGATGCTGATATCGGTATCAAAACATCTCTAACAGCAAAAAAGAGGGTTGGTTGCTTGTGAATTTGGCTAAAATTAAGCAACAATACACTAAAGTAGGACTGAACCCATTCAGTTATGAGCTATTTCTCTCTGTTTATGAGTAAATATGCTGTGAAGACAAAATCTCAACATGAGACAAACAAGCTGCTCTTTATTGTTCACTGAGAGTTAAGTTGTGTTTTCAAGGTCATCAAGTTTCAAGTCATCACATTTGGATCAAAGTTTAAATTGTCATCAGGTTCACTGATTAATGGCCAAATGATTGATTAACTTATCACTGAGGTGAAGCTTTACAGGACCTTGTAGCATTACTGTCAGGTGAGCAGACTTTTGATTTATTATAAGTTGACTAAGAAATATCTAATCTGAGTGCAGATCAATCGATCAGGCAGTTGTCAGGGGGACTAAGTCTAGAAATACTACAACTTAGCAGCTTAACATAGATTAAGTCAACCCTTTCACTTAGTCATAAATCTTTGCTGTAAAATGTGACATAAGACATACTTCAGTGGATGATGTTTTTGTGTTTTTGCGAAATAGCCCAGCTGGTTAATATATCACATGATAAAAAACAGTCCCATCACATGACCCACAGAGCAATTTAGCAATAAAAAATAGAGAATGCATAGGTTGGATAGATGCCTCAGCAACTTTAAGGGAGGTCATTGTTCCTTGTTTTTAGTTTCTCTTCTCCATTACTGGTTGGTTTAATAAAGTACCATTATAATCTGGGGTCATGTTTTAACTGCGCACACTGTGACTGAGCCAGAAATACATATGGACCTATGAGAAACATATATAACAGGAACTGCACATATTTACTACTGACATATAACTCATTTGCAGTATTTAGCCCTTACTGGTCAGGCCACAGATAATAGCCATGGTTTAATGGTGTATTATTAGAAGTCTGGATGTATAATACGAGCTGATAGAGGCTCTAGTGGGATGTAATTTCTCTTTTATATAACAATGATAAACTTTATTCATAATGCACTTTTTAAAAACAGCAAAGCAAGACAAGTAAATATCAGAGAAATAACAATCTGCAGGATGCAACATGACGAGGAGGCTGGACAACCACTAATAGGTGGTTGGACACAGGGTAGTGTTCAAATTAAATGAATAAATATAGTCAGATTAAAACTTTAACATATAAAAGCAGTAATATGAATAAAATAAATGGAGAAAAGAAAAAGATAAAAACTTCACATGTAAGCAAGTCTATGAAAATGAGTTTTAAGAAGTCACTGACTCTGGGAGCCTTATCTCCTCAGGTAGTTCCTTCCAAAGCCGAGGGGCCCTGATCAATAAATCTTAAAATCAATTATAAACTGGACAAGGAGCCAAAGGATGGAAGCAAAGGATCAGGGTGATGTTTTAAGAGCAGTGAGAAGCCGATAGCTGCTGCTAAACGACTATTATACATCTATTACTGGCGAGAGGAAGTGCAGAACAAGTTATTTCAATCTAAAACTCTTCTGGGGGAGAGTCTGACAAGCCCCCCCCTGACTTCTCCTACTGCTTCAAGATGTCTCCAGGATCCAGCCATGTGGGTCAAACCACCCAAGGACACTGATCAGGCATGTAAACAATAAGAGAGATCTAAAAACTGTCCCATGTAAACAACACAGCTCATCAGGCCAGACTGACAAGAGATGTCTCCTCCAGACACACACACACACACACACACACACACACACACACACACACACACCAACCATATGATGTTGAATTTGTCTTCGGGCTTCAGGCTCAAAACACATTCGCACGATTAGACAGCACAATGTCAACAAGGCTGTCATGTAGCTTCTCTCCACTAGCTCGACAGGACGTTAGCTACCTGGCTCCTCAGCTAGCTGCAGCTAATCAACATGCACAGGCTGTGGTGTAACTTATGTAAGCTGGTTAGCCTCCTGGTTAAGTCACTAGCGTTAGCATGGTGAAGCTACACCCCCCCCC